GAAACCTAGTAATCTAATCTTTATATCTATCTTAATACTTCATCAATGCACTTTCAGTTACGAAAACATGCATAATACTAGCTAATTAGTATTTTAACTTCAATAATACGTAGTATTTGCTAAAGTAGTAGTTGGGTAATACGGAGTACTAAAACTAATTGAGTACTCCTTATAATAATAATTAGTACTCCGTATAAAAATAATTAGTGGAATACTTTTTTGAAGATTTAAAAAATGTTTTCAAATGTTTTTGCTTAAAAAAACACTTTTTGAAATTATTTTGGAAAAAGTGATCAGTAGTAAAAGTTAGTATCACTTGAGAGAAAAAATGTTTTTGAAAAGTAAAAGGTGACAGTGTTTGGTAAAATATGCGTTTTTTGTGTAGTAGTAAAAGTAAAGAACAGTTTTCAGCCAAAAGTCGATAAACGTTTATTTAAGTAGAAGTCATTTGGAAACACTAATTTTAGCCTTTTAAGCCAAAAGTCGAGAATCGCTTTTTTAAGTATTTGCAAACACTCTTTTAGGGGTTATTCCATTAGCCGGATAGGAATGTTTTTATTTGAATTTTTAATATTTCATATGATCTGAGTTTTTTTAGCTGATCAGAAACTTTTTTTTAATCTAATTTGAATCTTTTTTATTTGATCTGAATCAATCTCACTCCGATCTAAATATTGCTAATGTAATTAAATGTTTATTATTGTTGCGGTTATTTTTGTTATTATCATCACTATTATTGTGATTAAATTTATAACTATAATTATAGTTAGAACTATAACTATACATCTAAATCTTTCTCATGTGAACTTAATTTTTCCGATTTGATCTAACTTGAATTGTCCCTTATTTGATCTGGTCTGAATAAAATAAAAATAAACAATAAGCAATAAGAATAAGGTAAAGTAATTAAAATACCTCAAACTTTAAAAGGAGTGTGAATTAAGCACCCCAAACTTGCATATATAATTTAAATACCCCAACCTTTATGTAAAAAGTTCTTTTAGCACCAGTCATGTATTATTTCTTTCAAAATTGTTAATTTTTTGTGTAAGTTTCACAATTTAATATATTTTAGCATTCTAAAAAATACAATTAAAATTCTAAACTTCCATTGCAAAAGAAATAATAATGCCCCCACTAGGGTGAACAATTGCAACATTTTTAATTTTTTATTTTAAATTATGCAATTAACACCATAAATAACATTTTTGAAAGGAATATTATAGGACCATATTGCTAAAATAAATTTTACATAAAGTTTGGGGTATTTAAATTACATATGAAAGTTTGGAGTGTTTATCTCACGCTTCTTCAGAGTTTAGGTATTTTGATTATTTTTCTCATAAAAATATGAAGAACACAACAACTTCTCAGTGACAGTTAGTAACTACAAATTAGAAAAGTCACATTCATAAATTAAAAATCATAAAACTAATTACATTTACTCTGTCTCATGAAACTTTGATAACATTCGTTATTTTTGTTATCTCAAAAATTTATAATCCCTTTGTCTCAGAAAAAATTATACGAAATATGAGAAAAAACTAAAATGGTTAATAAGTTTGATATACCGTAAACATATATGGATCACCAAAGGGTTCCTAGATTTCCCGTGCAACGCACGGGTTTATCGTCTAGTAAAATGGAAAGATCGGATCAGTTTTAGAGCCAAAATGTGATGACATTATTGTAAATATGAACAATTTTTTAATGGAGCTATTATATTAAAAGTGCATCATTCTACCGAATAAGTGCCCTAATAAATTGCAAATGTGCATCAATAGGTGCACTGCATCATTCTTATGATAGGGTCAATATAAGAGTGGTATTAGTGTGATAGAAAATTAGAAACATTGCTTTTTACATTTTAAGGTTAAAGGGAACATTGGAACACACAGGGTGGTAGAATAGAGAGAATTAAAAGCCAACAAAATAATGTCATCAAGGATCTACATTCCCCAGTTAATCAAACGACCTGTTGTGGCGATTTCTTCACTTCATTATTTACAAATGAACCATCATCGAGTCTTAATTAGATTCTGAACAATGTACCAGCCACTATTGCTTATAGTGATATTAGAATAACAATTCAATCATGGAGGAACCCAAAGAGGCTGTGTTTACTTTGGATCAAAATAATGTAGCTATCTGTGATAGGTTTGGAGCACAAGCACTATATATTTATATGTTATCATTTTTACGCCATTCTCAATTTATTTAAAGAGTATGAGCAGGGAGACTCTCTCTCTAGGGCTAATGCCGCTAGAGTAGCTTCCTTTTCCGTTTTCATCAAGGACGAAGAGTGGCCGCCCCTCTTGGCAGATACTCCAGACTATTCGTGATCTTTGTTCGTCACAGGTGTGCAGATAGAGTGCTGCAGAATCGAGTCGGCAAGGCTGAAGTCTCGGTGTTGTTTCTAAATCGATCGAGGGGCAGTGGCTCCGTAAACTCTCTGAAGGCTTTTTATGGGGGATATTGTGAATCACTACAAGAAGATGGCTATTGAATAGGAGGACGTAGAACTGAATTTCGATGAAGAGGGAGAGGAGGAGTTTGTTGCAACCGAGAAGAGAGCCGGATTTACAGTGGTTGGGGTCGTTCTCACGGACCGGAAAATCAAATTTCAAGCCTTCAAGAATCTTTTGGCTTCTATTTGGCATCCGGGTAAAGGGGTATCGATCAAAGAAATAGGCAACAAAAGGTATCTATTTACTTTTTACCATATTGTGGATATGAATCGTGTTTTTGAGGACGATCCTTGGTTGTTTGAAAGAAACTTACCGCTCCTTAAGGAAGTTAGGCCAGATGACATACCCCATAAAATGAAATTGTGTGAGGCAGAGTTATGGGTACAGGTTCATAATGTACCATATAGTTTCATGAATATAGGAACTGCTAGGAGGATTAGAAACTATATTGGAAAATTTATTAGGCTTGATGAGAGCCAATTTTAAGAAAGGCAGGGATCATATATGAGAATTAGGGTGAGCATGGATGTAGGGCATTGGGTGGATTTCAAATATGAGAAACTTCCTAATTTTTGCTTTACTTGTGGGGTGATTGGGCATTCTGATAAATTTTGTCCCTTAAAATATGAGGAATGCATAATGTTGGAAAAAACATTTGGGGTAAAACTTCGGGCTGTTGGAGGGGGGAAGACTAGTCCAACAAGGGGTAATAAGTGGTTAGTGGAAAGTTCCTCAAGCTCAGGGGTTGCCAGACAACAGAGGTAGGCAGGTCAAGAGGGTGAAGGGACAGGTGGCCAGGGTTGGCGTGAGTCCACAATAGGAACAGGTAATAGTGTTACCAAAGAAGGCGACATAGGCAGTACCGAGGAGGTGCCGGTGGATCAAAAGCGTAGAAGGATTTGGGAAGAACAATCACACGAGAATCCATCACGCGAGAGCATGTCTCTGGACAAACCAAAAAATGGGGAGGCGGCGGGTCCGGGCTTCTAGACCCGCCGGACGTGCGACTGGTGTTTCTGCTCAAGAGAACAATTTATGGTGTATTTTTTTTGCTGTTTTACACTTAAATTTTCAAGTTAAGACTGTTGTCATTTATTTTTATTTTATTTTTTGCTGAAAGACCCTTGCATTAGGATTGAGTGATGAGAGGTTTGAGGTTACCGTCTAATTTTTAAATTCGGGGTTGGCCGGAGCCTGATTGGCCCTCCTCTACCTCGTTCCCTGGTTATGAGTTGCCTCATGGACGTAATGCCATTGCTCCTACTCTTACTCCAAACAAAGTATCAACCTCAAGCCTGGAGAGATTATAGGCCTATAAGTCAGTGATTACATTGTTGTCTTTAGAAATCTCGCTAAGCATGAAAACAAGAAATTTACCGAAGACAAAGAACATCATTCATTCAATCATCATATTACAGCTGAGCAAACCCATAATGAGAGTAACTCTCTTAAAGGGGATAAGGGTCAGTTTGGTCTTCGAAGTTGCAAAAAAGGGGTCAAATAAGTCCTTATATAGAAGATTCTGTCCGGACGTGCCATTTGAGGTGGCTCCCGGTGGAATTTTTTGATGAAATTTTTTGAGAATCTTATTCATTAAGTCTAGTTTACTCATACCAAATTTCAGATAAAAATTCAATGGGGAAGACATTCAAATGAATTCTTGAAGATAACTGTGCCGTTAAAAGCGCTATTATCTTCAAGAATTCATTTGAATGTCTTCCCGATTGAATTTTTAGCTGAAATTTGGTATGAGTAAACTAGACTTAATGAATAAGATGCTCAAAAATATTTATCACTAAATTCTACCGGGAGCCACCTCAAATGGCACGTACGGACAGAATCTTCTATATAAGGACTTATTTGACGCCTTTTTTGCAACTTCGAGGACCAAACTGACCCTTTACTCTCTCTTAAAGAGTGTTGTGTAGTGTATCATTGATGAAGCCCCCGAAAATTGGCTTAAACTCAGTGTGTGCTGCCCTTTAAAGATGAGGAAGCTAAATTAGAGGGAATTATAAACACCGAGAATGGTAGCTATGTATGCTTGTGATTGCTTTTTGTAGTAGAGAACTAATGCAGAAAATATAAGAAATGCTTAAATACATGCTATTTGGAAGGGGATTTAGCTACTGTAGCCTGCTTCTGTTCTCTCCAAAAAAACTAGAAATTCTTCCAATATAATGCAGTAATTGGTAATGGATCTCTGAGTAACCGAAGGCTTGTAAATGAAAATATGAGTAGGCTAAATAATGCAAAACCTGCCCTCGGGCTCGTTTACTATTTCGTAAAATCCAATGAGCAGCCTTCGATTGAGTAGGATGATCAAGTAATTGACTTGTATGCAAATGACAAATCACATGACTTATACAGTACAATTATATAAAAAAAGTTACAAAACTTTATTGGAATAGGATAAAGGTAATATTAGACAAAGAGTATTACATTATATAAAAAAAGTTACAAAGTTTTATTGGAATATGATAAAGGTAATATTAGATACAGAGTATTACATTATATCAAAAAAGTTACAAAGTTTTATTGGAATAGGATAAAGGTAATATTAGATACAGAGTATTACATTATACGTAATATATTACTCCATCGTTATTGTTATGACGTAAATACATATAGAAATGGATAATAACCGTATCAACATAATTAAAAACTTATTTTCACTAATTAATGAATTAGTGAGTTGAGACGCTATGAAGGACAACGGTCTCGACAGTGAGTCCAGGCCCGAACCCGAACAAGACCCCCCAATCCAGCCCTTCACCCGTGGTGCTCAGCCCACCTTCAGCGGAGGCCTTCCTCATCTCATCCAAAATAAACAACACACAGGCGCTGGACATATTCCCATACTCGCTCAACACATGTCGGGTGGCCCGAAGTTTCTCGGGCTCCAGACCCAACTTGGCTTCAACTTGGTCCAGAATTGCCGGCCCGCCCGGATGAGCGGCCCAGAAAACCGAGTTCCAATCGGTAATTCCCAGCGGTTGAAATGCTTCCTTCAAACTCTTCTCTATGTGCTTAGATATCAGCCCCGGAACGTCTTTCAGCAAATGGAACGTCAGGCCGGCTTCCCGGAGGTGCCCGTCGATGGCGCCGTGGCTATCCGGCAGAATAGTTTGGGCCGCCGAGACCAGCTCGAACAAGGGCCTCTCTAGGCCCGCAATTGGGTCTGACCCTATTATAATCGCCGCGGCCCCATCTCCGAATAGAGCCTGGCCCACCAGACTGTCCAGATGCGAATCACTTGGGCCTCGGAAGGTGACGGCGGTGATTTCCGAGCAGACGACCAGAACCCGAGCGCCCTTGTTGTTCTCGGCGAGTCCTTGGCCAGCCGGAGAACCGTCCCGCCGGCGAAGCAGCCTTGTTGGTACATCATAAGCCTTTTGACGGAGGGTTTGAGCCCAAGAAGCTTAGTGAGCTGGTAGTCGGCCCCGGGCATGTCCACACCGCTAGTGGTACAAAAGACCAAATGGGTGATTGTGGACTTGGGCTGGCCCCATTCCTTGATGGCCCTTTGGGCCGCTTCTTTCCCAAGTTTAGGGACTTCAACGACCACTATATCTTGCCTTGCATCCAAGGAAGGGGCCATGTATTCACCCATGCTGGGATTTTCTTTCAATATTTCCTCATTTAAGTACATGTAACGCTTCTTGATCATAGATTTTTCACCTGTAAATATTTTCACAAGTTGCTGGTTAAGGTCTAGGACGAAGGCAATTCAACTGATCAAGGTCAATCTACAAAAGAATTTCAAATTGGGATAAGAAAATGATTACAATGTTGGATTTGGATTTTATTATATACGGTTCAGAAATTGCGCTAAATAGGAGTAAAAATGTTTTGAAATTCCAAAATATGAGTATCATGTTTTTTATTCTCTGAATAAGAGTAATCTGTCAAGTTTGGGAAAAAATGACAGGTTAAAAGCCTTGTAATGCCAAACTTGGCAGAAATTTACTTCTATTCAGGGAATAAAAACATGATACTCTTATTTTGGAATTTCAAAACGTTTTTACTCCTATTTAAAGAATTCTCTCATTATCAACCCGCAGAGCTTTTGAACTCTACATATTTTTTAGTCTGGCTATATGCACGGTGGTAATTATTGAGCAAGTCAGAGCTCGAGTTCAGCTTAGATCAAGTTGGGCTTGATGATGTTTTGGTCGAGTTTCAATCAAGTTGAAAATTTATTGCTTGGTTTGAATTAAGTTGGAGTAGGGTTCAAGTTGTATTCGTAGTTTATCTATTACTCGTATTATAAAAAAATGATATTTTAAAGGGAAAAAAATGATTTGTTATACGATCAAACACATGCGTTCAATCATCAATAATTTTTTATAGATAGAAACGCTGCTTTAAATTATTTGCCTAGTTGTCTCTTGGATATTAAGACTCTCTTTGTCATCTATGCTTTATTTAGACCTAAGATGAACTAAATTCAATTAGCCCGGCTTGAATCTGCAAGAGCGTTGGCTTAGAATGCATATAAAATGGATAACAATTTTAGAACATTGTCTAAAACGTTATTCATGGATATAAGGATGTTTATACGTACTATATAGTATAGATAGGTAATGTCATATGTATGAATCTAAAATAATCAACACTAATTCATAATCGAGTAGCAAGTTTCAAATCGAGTTTGTATATAGCTTGAGTTTGAACTTTCAGTCGAACTAGATTTGAGTAAGAATCAAGTCGATCTCGAGCAAAGTAACTTGCATGTCGGTGTACTAGATTAGCACCCTAGCTATATGTAGACATATATCAGATCAATGAGAATGTGATAATGAAAGAAGTATTCCGTATAATGCATGCAAAATGCAATAATTAATAGACCAGATAGAGAAAGAATGGATCAATGAGGAAAAAAAATAGAAGCTGAAGTAAAAATCATACACATTCGCTTAAACTTTTGTTTAAGCTCAGTCATATGCTCGCTCTTAGTGACGTGAAAATAATAGTCGGGATAAGTGCTCTGGTCAACGCAATTCGGGGGAGTGGCGGTTCCGATGGCCATAATCGTCGCCGGACCCTCCGCCCGTTGCGCCTTTCTCACCTCCTCCACCGTCACCATTTTTGTATTTGAGGTTGCCGGAGATCGAACAATTAATTAATAAATATTTAAAGGTGATACGTACTAATCTTTGTTTGAGATTATGAAAGAAGTTAAGTTTATGTAAATATATGTTTTTAGTTGACTGATATTTATAGCCATAATTAAGAGGGAATGACCAGCTCGTGACGTATGTAATGACGTATTTATTTACATCTCTTAAACTTACGTACGAACCATCAAGGCTTAATTAATAATAATTACAATACCCCATTAAAGTCAAAAGTAAATTTAGGCTTCATACTTCTCATAGACAAGTTATCCTGATTGAATTATAGAAGTTCTAAAAAAAAATTCTAGCGGTAATATCATAATATGTAGTCAAAAGTATTGTAGGAGGCAGGAGCTATACAAATAGTTATAGTCCGTACAAAACAATAATATAAGAGGACTAAATAAATTTGGAAAAAATTGACAATAATAATCTTACATTTCAGCGGTCTTCATAAATTTACAGAAAATTGACAATACCAGTGAAATGTATGATTATTATTGACAATTTTTCCTTAAATTTAATTAATCATCACTATGCTTCAATATTATTACAATGGAAGACGTTGTAGTTTTAATAAAGTGACTTTCTAGACAATGAGTACATGATAAAAAAAAATAAACCAATAAATCTGTATAAAATTATATACTCTGCATATATAAAATATACATTTTTTCGTGAACATATATACAATGCGCTACATATATAAGCATATATGCCATGTCATTATTGTGTATATATACAATTAATTCAACTATATATTCTTGTTAGAAAATAAAATATTCGTAATTATTGAGAATATAATTTCTAATGTATTGTCTACTTTTTGTTCATGATAAAGTAGAGTTTTTTTTCGAATTAATGCTAATTAATTAATTAATTAATTACGAAAATAATGCTGGGTTAAAACTTATTACCGATCTACTGTTGGGTTTAACCATGGTCGAGCAAAGTCGCCAAATGATTGGGCGACTTATAAGTCGTCATCCGGTTTGGCGACTTATAAGTCGCCCAACCGTTTGGCGGCTTTGCCCCCTGCATCTGAACGATGGAACTAGCTACTGGAAGCCAGGCATGATCGTGCCCCGAGGGAGGCACGATCGTGCCTGAATCCGGATTTCCTAGTTACGTCCGATTTCACATGTTTTCTATAAAATAAGTCCTCTCTTCTCCTATTTAGGGGTTACGAACATTACGAGAGGCCTAGTGACAAATTTACTTGCATTTTTACCATTGTTTACTCCAAGACCCTGGGATTATTTGTAAGTTCATCTTTTTAATTAATGACAATTGTTTCTATTCATCCCAATTTTGTTGATTCTTTAATAAGAGGCGCGCAGTAACCTCGCTCGTCCTGGCTATAGTTTAAGATAAAAACAGTAGATTCATAACCAGTAAAGCACAGTACAATCATCTAATATTCATAACACAGTACAGTCATCTAATATTCATAACCGAACACATCAAGACATCATATAAGGGTTTGCAGGTAGGTAGAAGTACGTAAAATAAATTCAATTGTTCCTACAAGATCCAGTGTAACAGAAAAACTCCAATACAAAAGACAAACTACAAGTTATCTCATGGTCTTCTTGATCAGCTTGGTCATAGAGATGTTGTTGTTGCTGCCTACGCCGCTGTCGTGGTTGAAGAACCACTCTCTCATGCTGAGTCTAGGATGATGAAGTCGCCGCTGCACTAGATGTCGATGGCATATCCTGAGATGGGGGCATATGTATAAGATGGTTGTAGTCGACTTGCCCCAACACATCTGAACACAACGAGGCAATGCCCGTCAAAGCCTAACCATACATTTCCACATCATTCATATCACTCATTGTGGCAGTAGCCCGCTGATGTATACGCTGCAAAGCTCGTGTCTGAAATATGAAACACAATTACAATTAGTTAGAAATAAATAAAAGTGTTAAATAAAGAAAAGAAAATGACTTACTTTAGTAATTAGTAATATACTCACCGTCAGATGCAAAGTCAAGGAGCTAGGCTGATAATGGTGAGTAAGGAGTCTGAACGAAGGAGACACAAACAAACGAGTGATGCTGTAATATCATCACATGTAGTGATCTCCCGAAACAGATGGGACTAATGTCGGTGTCCCAGTCACAACAACCTCAGCTCGCCACATATTGACATATCGGACATGTCTGAGTGCCCAATCCTCCGTATGCTTCCCACGCCTATCCAACCTATGAAGCTCTACATATGTGTCGATAGGTCCTGGAATGACCTGCTCATACTCAAACTGTCGCAATACACGATCATGTAAATGAAGCTCAACAATGTCAAAACATATCAACGGCACACGTGTTCGCCATATGTGAGAATGCTCTCGTCCAGCTGGGGCAACTCTGCCAACATCTCAGTTGTATACGGCATCCATGTAATCTGTTTCATAAACATACAAAATTAGTTTTTCTGCTATACATATTATAGTTAATGTTATATTACGCACACCATACCTGATCCTCAGACATCCGATCAAATGCATCCATGTACACACCGAGCCCAGAAGCCGATGATGTGCGACATACTTCAGCAAATAGCTATCTAACCATTCATGTAGCATATATTAATATGAATATTATTAATATATTTATATTCAACATACAATAACGTAAGTACAAACGATTGAAAACATACTGACATCCCAGAGGGTCCTCGCCCCATACATGATGTGGTCCCAGGAGATGTGAAGGCTCATCAAGCAGTGGGTGTCCATCAATGTCATGGTATGCCACTATAATGGGACGTCCAATCTGGATGTACTCCCATGACCAAATCTGGAGAAGAAGTAAAAATCCTCCAAGCTCTGTGCTCCCTCTCTGGCAGCCGCGACACAGCTGTCTGTAGAGATAAGCCAGAGTGGCACTACCCCAACTGAACTATGCTGCTACATCAAACCTCTCTAGCATAGGCAAATGCAGCACCTGAATCTCATTTCCGCTCTAGTCAGCGAAAATGGAAGATCTCATCATCAGCGAAATATATGCCCGTGCATGCTGCTGGACCATCACCTCATCAGCGGCCGGATGAAGAACAGTGAAATGCTCCCTCAGCCATGACATCCTTAGAGATGACCCCTGAAGGTCAGCCCGAAGTAGGGGGCGAACACCCAACAAACTCTCACACTCATCAACCCACTGTTAACAAGTTGTACCAGTAAACGCTCTCTCATCGACTTCTAACCCACTCAGTACAACAACATCTCCCAAGGTCACTGTCACCTCACCAACAAGGAGGTGAAATGTGTGTATCTCCTGCCTCCAACGCTCGAGAAGAGCAGTGAGTAGCGCTCTATCGAAAGGGACAGTAGCCACCAATCCATGCAGACCATAAAAACCCGCAACACGAACATATGCAAGTACTCTGTCGCCCACCTGCACATGCGAGGCCAAGACACACATCCTCAATCCTGTGCGTGGCCTGCAATGTCAAGACAGAACGATCAC